TCTGAGCTAGTATTTGCTGCAAAGCACCGAAAACTCTATAGCTTGTATAAGCTGGGGACCTCCGAAACTGATACCTTTTAGCAGGACTAACGAACGTCGGATAACGCTGTATTCCGAAAGCATTGTTGCTGGTCCATCTTGTGAGAAGACTTCCTGTGCATCCGTTGCATGCGAGGCGCAGTTGTGGATGTCGGTGCCGTCAGGCCAAGTGCAGTAAGGGTTGGGCAGAGTGATGTTGCAGGAGGCGCTCAGCCAGGCAAACCTCGTTGAACGCCACCCATACTGGCCGTTTTCTATTGGTAAATTGGAAAAAGGGAAAATCTTCTATGATGAATTTAGGGTGGTCTTCAAAAAACTTTTTTTCTTGAAAATGAGTTCCTACCTCAAAATTGGGTTCCTCTAGAGGCCTAAATAATATTCCTAAAATATTTTTCAAATCGTTTAATATTTAGAGGTCGCTCAATGTCGTCAAAGTTTCACCCCTATGGCTCAAGGTCATTGGGTCCCTAGAGTGAAAAAATTAGATCATTACTCACTGCAGTTAGTGATAGAGAGCGCATTTTCTCGTCCGTCTGTGAAGTCACGAACAGACAGATGGACGGATGGACAGGCATGACGATCACAATAGCTCCTTTTTTCATAAATGAGAAAGTGCGCTAAAAAGGAACGGGTCTAAACATTAGGGTTGTCCTCAACAATGGGGTCCAAAATTCGAATATAGTTTTTCCACGCTCCTACATCACACTCTGATTTCTTTATGGAGAGTTTTTAATGTGTTGAAATTTCAAAACTCCCTCTGAATACTCCTAACAAAACTCCAGAAACTCCCACTGGGCCTGAAACCGTCGGAACAGTGTGCCCGATGTTCAACCCATGACCGCCTGGAATGCGTCGCCGAGGACAAGTTCATGGATGTGCCCGGTGTTTGATGCCGTCCTATCAAAACACTGCGCTACCACACGATCCTCAATCCGCAACTCCCGCAGAAGCGTGACGACGGCATCGCTCTGTGCCTTCCCCGTAGCGTTGGCGAGCCTGGGAACGCCGATGAATTGTACAGCTCCTTTTCGCTTTGGGTAGGTAGACGGTTCACGTGCTTTTTATTCGTGAGGTCCTGCATTAGCTTTTCTTCTCAATGCACCACCACCGTCTCGCTCATCTTTAAGTCCGCCTTGAGCTGTGAGGCCTACATGTCTTGGTGTTTCTGCCGATATCGGCAAATGGAGCAGTTGATGTTAGCCTCTTCTGGCTTGGGGCCGAAGTTTCGAGCTGCTTTGGTTAGGAGGAACGCAGATCCTCATTCGCTCACCTTGGTTCGGTCAAGGGAAGCTGCCAAGCCTGGAGTAATCACATTCTTCGCCCTCTTCGGTGTACTTGCGCTAGCGGGAGCTGTGGCTTATCCCCACAGCGCCCTGTTTTTGTTGCACATGGAATTCCTCCTCCTCCGCTCTCCGCTGGATGATGTGGAGGACGAGTCGCCTGGGTCCATATGGCAGTAGAAGCCGACATTGACGGCTGCTGTGCCCAATGACAGCGCTCTTCCTTCACTTGCCACCGATTTCAGTTCCGCTCTTCCTTACGGACAAGTTCGGCATCGATCCCTCCCATGTACCCCGGGCAACCAGGCTGCCGATGCACGACAAGGAAGGCCTGGGCTTCCTCAATCTTCATGATCGAGGGCGCACGTCGAAGACCCTCTCTGGTTCCTCCTTGAAGACGGACTCCCTCACGGTCTGGGCCTTGGATTCCCTTGTGACGATTATTCTTGACTAGCTGGTATTCTTGCTCGATTTTTCCAGCTTCGTTAAAAAGTTATCAGGACGCATTGTAGGAATCCTTGCCCGCTCCCGGAACTGGAGGACTTCATAGATGACCTCCTTGAAGGCGTCTTCCTAAGTAGCACCGTTGCTATGATGGAAGTGGACAACAGCCAGCCCTACCTAGCACAAAGGAAGCTTTGCTCCCGTCAACGCGAGAGAAGGAGACACCGAATATCCCTTCTACGCACGTGTGACAGTTGCCATTGCGACTGTCAACCTTCAACAATCCGTGGATGAACACGACTGACTGACTGTCCGAAATACACACTGAACAACGAACCCAGAAATGGAATCAAGTCATACAGGGTGGGACTGGACAAAGAATTACTGTTCAAGCATGTTCAGACCCGTTTCTTTGTTCACTCTACGGACCCAATGACCCTGAGCCATAGGGGAGAAACTTTGACGCCATTGAGCGACCTCTAAATATTAACCGATTTGAAAATTATTTTAGGAATATTATTTAGGCCTCTAGAGGAACCCGTTTTTGAGGTAGGAACTCATTTTCAAGAAAAAAGTTTTTTGAGGACCACCCTAATGATGATGATTCAAAATCTGAGTCATTTCAGAATATTTCGACTTTGATAAGGTGTTTTCAAAATTTTACAACTAAGATATGCAGAAATTAAAAATGAAACAAAGTTAAGAAACCATGATTTGATATTGTATAAACAATACCCATAATTGCTCGCCGATATTCATATATTTTAATTGAGAATTGGGGCCTGAGTCGGTTACTGACGTAAAATTCAACCACTGATTTATAGACTTACGGAGAGCCAATAGGTTTTCCTTTCAGAGCTGATTTGTGTTCTGAACTGGAAGTCCGAAGCTGCAATTCATATTTTGCTCAATCGTACGGTTTATGAGCTAAATTTATCATTTATCATGAGATCTTGCTTGGCATGGGTTTCAGGACGTTGTTTAGAAATGAATATATGGAGTAGAATCTTCTTGCAAATTAGCTTTCTATGATCATGGAAATTGCACGATCCAGAAACAAAATGGATATCACTATTTTAAATATAAATGCACATAAATTTCTATTTAAAAATAATATGCGTTTAAAAATTACTTTTTAAAGACAACACTTCTGAACAATCCAGGGTCTTGGTTGTTACACATGTACAATGAATTTCTAATTGTATTTTAAAATATAAAAAAAATATTTTTCAAAATTTTAAGATATCAAAATTTTGTAAATTTTCAAAATTATTTATTCTGTCAATTTATTCATGCATTGTCTCTGACCTTATGCAATTGTGCAAAATTTCAGATCAATTGGACAGGTCAATTTGTGTCATATATTGATTATAAGATTTGTAGCAGACGAAATTATTTTTAAATTTTTATTAATAATGAAAAACAAAATTTTTAATTTATAAAACTATTTATTCTGTCAATTGATTCATGCATTGTCTCCAACTTTACGTAAGTGTGCCAAATTTCAGATCGATTGGACAGGTAGAAGTGTGTTAAATATCGATTATAAGATTTGTAGCAGACAGACAGACAAACAAAGAAGAAGTGAAGTTAAAGAGAAGTGTTGTAATAAATTTAAAATTCAGTTCATTGCGTGAGGTTGTTAACGAGGCCGCAGCCATTTATTGTTCCCCAATCATACATTTTACACGTAAATAAACAAATTGCTTGCGAATTGCAAGAAACTTTTACAAAAATGTGTCCTTTTATTTAATGTACTTTTCAGTTAAGTTTGAAATGGCAGGATAAAATGAATCTCACCTCCGACGAGTTGCGCTGCCTTGTCTCTGACTTGCTTGGTCTTGATGACGATGTTGCGGGAGAGCTATCAACATATATAGGCTATCGCCGTCTATTAGGTTGGCGATAGTGAAAATTGATTAAAACCCGATTCGTTCAGAGTTGAGACTTTGCAAGATTTTATTGCGTAGCTATAAAAAGGTACATAAGGTGGCCCACTCCCAAAAAGTAATTATCTTACTACCAGTAGAGTCACAAGCTAAGCAACACAAATAACCTAATGTTAAACAAATACAATGGTCACTTTTGGCAGCTCTGGTATCTCCTGCGTATCTTCTTCCAATCTATGAAGGTTCGCAACATGCCCAACGAGACTAGTGTGTCACACTGACGTAGTAAACCCAAGCGCATCCGCTTGTTATCACAGTCAAGGCTTGAAGTTTAGGCCGTCCAATTAAGGATTTCAGCGTCAGTTACTGTTGCATTCACCAGTGGGGAAAACTAGGCACTTTTCCTTCGTATTCAGACGAGGACCAGGTACGCAGGTTGACTTAAAATACAGAGCCCACTTCCACCTGAAATAATCAACAAATGCACGGGAAAATAAATGGGAAGTTTACCCTAAAATTACAGGAACAGAGGAACTCAATTGGGGAATATATCAGAATTGATCTAAGGAACACGAGTAAAAATATATAAATTGAAATAATTGACTTCCCAGCCATTGGTATTATCGCAGTACTTTATAGCAGCATAAACAAGGAAGACAAAATTATTACTATCGTCTAATAAGCTTACCCGCCACTCAAAAAGAAATCGTGAGAGGTACAATGGTTGCAACAAATGAATAGATAAATCATGTAGTCGAGGCTAAAAAATTATCGACATTCAACTGAATACACGTTACGGAGTCTTGGCCACCGCAACCGCAAACGCTGATCACTAAAATGAAACCGGGAGTCAACGCGGTCCTCTCTACACGTTGCCAGCGTGAACCTGGTAAACAAATGACGGACAAATAGCGCAGCTACAACGAGAGGCTCGCCGCCTTCTGCCCTGCAGAGACGCCGCTGGCTCGCCAGAGACCCGTCTCTTGTGTAGGCCCTGGTGATGAACACGTCTCTGATGACGTGTCTGTGGTTTATTCAAATCTTGCCGAATTTCCCTTGCATCAATGAGATAAATCATACACAAACTGATAAAATTCAACTGTAGGCAATTTAACAGATGCTAAGCTATACTAAACAATGTGTTTCCTCTCCAGCTGAAATTATCAGCACTGACTTCATAATTATTCACTAACCTCGCAGTGTATTGTATCAATAAACACCCGTTGCATGACCGTGTCAGTTGTTAATTTCAAGGCATTAAATATTTTCAAATTAATATCGTTAGCAGTCTTGACGGTGCTTGAAATCTATTTACGAATCACATACTAATTAATTTCTCGTTCACGCTTTGGTATTCACGCAAATTTTGATATGGATGAGGTACGTGTTTGTGATGTCGTTGGGCAGCGAATGAAAAACTGTGACTGAGAATATTTTTAAATGTCCCGAGATCCATGAATGTATAGCTCTACTCGCTGCGTAAAGCACAACCTCAATAATATTTATGAGCTTCTACTTTTTTAATATTGGTTCTTGCTGCCAGATAATTAAAAAAATTCACTTGAAAAAGACTGAAATTTGCAATAACTTTCCATTTCGCATGGACGCATATTGCGTCGAAATGCGGCGATATTCGCGTTTCGCAATTTCAATCAATATGTATATCACATTTAAAAGTTTACGCACCGTACTTGAAGAGACCGATAACGCCGGTTGTGTTCTGTATTTTTGTCTCGCACTGACTGACGTACGTGAGGTTGCACGTAGACGAGGGCTTATCGTACGTCGCTGCCGTGCACTGCGGCTGTACGAGGCACTTGGCTCGGTAAGCACCTGGAATTTATTACTGGTTGGTAATAGTTGGTTATGACTGTTTAGTAATAGTTATTTACGTGGTAAGTCAATGAAAATTAATGTACATAAGTACAGGAAAACGCAAAAGTAATTATTCCGAGTTAAAGTCAGCTTTCAGTTTTCCATATTCATTGTTTTCTATACTTGTCCAATGAAATGATTATTTGGAAATAAATTACAATGTGGAACTAAATTACAGGAATTCTGTAATTTCAAGGAGGTACTACATTACAGGAATTTGATAAGGTTTATCAATGAGGAAATCCATATAGATTAATTTTTTTTTAATTCTTTAAAAGCAACGATTAAAAACTTGAGCATTTCTATACTGCTAGCGGTGCGACTTAGTTTAATATGCAAACAAAAAAAATCGGAAAAAAACTAAACGGCAGCTTCTTTCTATAGAAAGAGGCTGTCGAAAAAAATGTTTCATCAAAATAAAAGACCCCCAAAAATTAAATTAATTGAAGTATTTTAATAAAGTTGTCACAATGAGCGACCCTAAAAATTAATTAACGGCTGAACAAACCGTCCTTGCAGATATTATACCAAAAATATGTATTTATATTTCACATCGTAGGCTTACTAAAACTAGCTGATCGCATAAAAATCAAAGTAATTGGGTAGTTCATGTTTCCCAATTTATACTCACTTTGATATCGTTTGTGAAGAATTGTTTGAAAAACAATTTTGCAACTCCATAATTTGCAACTCCGTAAATGATTAACGTAAAATAGAATTTTTTTAATACTTTCTTGATCATAGAGTTACCAAGATTAGGGTAGCTTCAGTCCTTAATAATATTCCAGATACTCCATAATTAAGTACAACTTCCTTATATCATGGCCGCTAATTTATAAACTAACAAGAGTCATCGCATGGCACTGTTTCTCGTATGTCTGTTTCTTCACAAATCAAGTCCAGATAATCATGTCTCAATTAATAAATTAATAAGCCATAATATACACAGGGACCAACCTAACTCACACAAAGTGTCGCCTTTGTACGACACTTTGGGCGCGATGATGTCGATGTCTTTCATCACCACCTTGAAGGCGGGATACTCTCCAGCTGCCACCAGCTGCAGCAGCTGCAAGAGCTGCAACGCGATCCAATTCATCTTTACAGCTACGTTTAAACTGTTGGAAATGAAACTTTATGAATAAATTTTATCATTATTTTACATTATGATCAACCTTGAGAATTATGGGATTGTAGGCATATGCAGTAACGAAGTAAATAATTTAAGAGAAAATATTATGCTATTATTTTGTAACAAGCATCGCATGAACTTGATTTTGCGTGAACCTAATGCAGTGCATTATTGCTGCGGGAATTTTCACGTGGCGGACATGAATTTCAGAGCATAATTACGTTTCAGTCGATCAACACAAAGATACTGCTGCAAAGTCACTCTATTGCGTTCTTTACTTTAAGCCACAGTACTGCAACAATCAGCTTCAGGATAACTATATAACTTTTTTAAAAGCTCTGCAAAAGTATGATCGACTCGATAGTTCCATATATGAATATGCGAGCTATCAACGCTTATACTGCATCGTCAGAAGTTGACCTCCACGACCAAAGTTACGGTCAACTTCTTGCTGCTATTTTACGACTCGTGGATTGCAAGGCGAACAGATTTTCTGCGAGCGATAAGTCCACTAGTTTCGGATATGATGATAAGGCAGCCGAGTAACCTACGAGTATGATTGCATGGGTTGTTCAAAGTTTTGAGTAGTTGGTGACCAGGCAGGTTAATCCTGCAATAATCATGCTAATATATACTCAAATATTGTGTACTCACTTGCTGAGACACGAAACGATAGTAAAATGCTATTCAGAATAGTAAACTTGTTTAACATTCACGATAGACTTCACACTAAGGAGCAAATTATTTTGTACATGCAGTTCGGATGATTTTAACATGTCAGTTTAGATGATAGTTTCACCACTCAGTTTAGATGACAGTTTCACCCGTCAGTTTAGATGACAGTTTCACCTGTCAGTTTAGATGACAGTTTCACCTGATTATTGTTTCACCCGTCAGTTTATAGGATTCTTTCACGGTTAGTTTAAATTACTCTTTCACCCGTCAGTTTATATGAAAGTTTCACCCGTCAGCTGTCATATTGATGAGCATGAAGAGAATGATATGTCTCCTCTACTAGACATACTCTTAAGAACTCAATTATTCTCCAGTCGTTGCTAACGAAATTTAGAAAGGCCAGCGTAAGCTTCTATTGGTATATATATTGGTAAATATTGGTCTGAAAATTTTTCGTTCATTCTTTAACAGAAAATGGATTTGTACGGTAATTAGATATTTTGAGCTTTATCCATTTTTGCACGCAGTATGCAATAATACATCATTTTTGATTTTGAGAAGCAAGTTGGAAAATATTTAAAAATATTTCTAAATTTTCGAGAACAACGCCGTTAATCCAAACGCCCGCATTAGAGATAATTGTTTAAATACATAAATTTGACCGGTATTTGCCGGCGATTATTCCGTTTTGATCGCACATTTCAAAATTTATTTTCACACAATGAAAACGGGCCTGAAACAAGAAATTTAATTTTTGTACGTTAGATTCAAAAATTGATTAAAAAAAGAATCGTCGAATGTAGGTAAAATTCAAAGACACCAAGTTCATCAATTATTAGGATCTTGTCGTTCTGTCTGGTAGTTACTATTTTCCGATAAATATTAACATTCAGAATTTGAAATGATAAAATCAGTTCGAATTTTACTAATCATAATTCTAAAGATGAGTTTATCAAATTAAGCTTCACATCCTATAAGGTATAATACTCACTATACTCACATGCTCAGAAAGGGTGATTATACGTCGCAGTGAGGCACAAAAATATGACTGGCAAAAGGTGCAAATGCTCACAGTGAGCGCCGGTAAAGCAATGATCACAATCACTGCACTGAGAGATCCATCGTAAGTTGGGCCATGCATTACGCTTAGAACTTCACGCATTGCGATGCTCCGTATCTAAGTACGTTCGTAACTAGCCTATTATTTTCATGAGTGAATAGTGGTTTCGCGACTGTGTCGCTTTTTATGATACCAATTACAGATCGGGATTACAAAGTTCGAATAGGCAATACGATTTCGTATTAAGCTTCTTATGTTACAGGGTTTTTGGCGAATATTAGAACAAAAATTTTGCTTCAACATCAGAGATTTAATGCATAAAGCATTTATTGAATTATTCTTGTACTAACATTTATAAGGAGCATTAAGTTATGTCGTATCTATTGAAAGAAATTCAATAAATGGATCTAATCCTTATCCATCTTCTTAAATGGAATTAATGGATGTTAAATTAATCCTGATCTTTCTAATTTCTTACGGGTAGAACACAGTTAAAAATGAGCCAAAATATAATAAAAATATGGCTGCATGATTAATGACATTAAATTGAAAAGCCATCAGTGATCTGCTGACGGAGCTACGAATTCAAAACAATTTTTGATGATCCGGCCTACTGAACGAGGCTCGATATTGCGCTGAATATCGGGCCGTCTTAGAGGACCTGGGAAGTTGCTGCGGTGAATAATATTGGTGCGCAGGTACGGCAGAAAAATAGAAAGTTATCGTTTATGTCAGGAAACTATAATTTACTACAATAATGAAACTGTTCTTATCCGCTGAAGCTACTTTCTTGTGTATTTTCCTGGCGCTGATCATGTACATAAAGATACAAAAATAATATTACATGATGAAGGCAATACCAGTCATTAGTAATTAACCTTTGATTTTAATTCATCCATCGGGAGGAGAAAGGAAAGAAAAATTTTTTGCGTGATGTAATTCAAACCACATTAGATAAGTTAGTAATGCACATCAAACAAGCAACAGGATAAAAAATATTAAAATTAGTACTGATGATCTTGCCACAATGGTGTACTGGTAAATAAGAACTCTAAATATTTATCGATCATTAATAGAAGGACAACGCTCATTTAAATTGAAAATCTGCGTTCCGCGTTAA